CCGACGATCGTCGATTAAGAATACCGGTCGCTTTTGACAGTCCTCGCTCGAACGATTTTGGAGAAGAAGGAAAGACGCGTCGCGGAGGGGCATGGAACCGCGTTCGCGCTGGCCTGACGGAAGCGGGAGAAGAAACAACGGTGAACCGTGCACACGCACGCTGACAACACTCGAGATCCGACGATAGCGCGAGAAAAGATGATTTATGAGCGTGTGACACGCTATGCCGTTCGCTCGAGTTCGCGATCCGAGTGACCGAGACCGAACGACGTGACTGAAAGCGTTGGATCGACGACGCGAGGGTGCGAGGGTGAGAGGGCCGAGAGAAAAAACAATTACGTCGAAGAAAACGGAAAACAAATAATTACGGTCGCGTTGTTGAAATTTCTTCGCTGCGCAAAATGCGACTAAGCCAGTAATCGCGAAAAAACTGCGTCATTTTATGTCGAAATAAAAACTCGCGAATCGAAACATGTATTCTTATTAATTACGTAAAAATGTTAATGTCTTATTAATATTCGTTATATTAATAAGAATATATACGTTATATATACTCGTTTGGTAAAAATACCGTTGAATAGATATAATAATATAAAATTAGAAAATAAAACATCGATCTGATTAGAAAATAATTCTACATTATAACAGCGCGCGTACGCTTTTCAAAGAGATCGAACCGAAATAAAACAAACGACAATATCCGATGGATGTTTCGCTCGAATAAAAATTAGTCTATAGTTGTCGACTGCTTTCGCCGGCCATTCATGCTAGCCGGATTTGATTTATTGGCCAGAGAAGACGACAGGGGATGGCAAGTGTTCCGAACGATGAAATTTTGACGGTCGATGGCTGTTTCCACGGCTCGTTAGTGGCTATACTTCACGTCGTTGCGTTCGAACGCGTGCACTCGGCCTCGCGGATTCGTTGCATCCGCGAATGCGGGTCGGTGCATCGATGCCACGTGACCCGAACGCGGCGACGACGCCCGGTGGGCACTTATTAGATTCATTCCTAGTATCTGTTGCCCGCGATTCACCGAGCGAATCTTCTTTTCTACAACCTCGCTTAAACCTTGCACCGGAACACCGAGTCAGAATCGACCCAAAGGGTACAAAAATCAGTCTACGCGTAAGTGTACCTTGCGAGAAGAAATAGAGCATTTTTCATTTTTATTCTACCAAGGGATGCGTCATCTAATACACAGATTTCTTATATGAAAATTTAATTGGAGTGCAAGTATAATTCTCTAATTGAAAATAGCCTTGTCAGACCCGAAGAATTTTAGGGGTGGTTATACTAGAATAGAGACGAATGATTTATCGATTCGATTCCACCGAGAGAAATGCCTTCTACACCGGTTGAAAACAGTTGAAGAATTTCAAGGTACCGTTGCATTACTTTCAATTTTAATTTTGCATAAGAATCAGCAGTCTAATACGATAATCGCTTTACAACCGTACAAATTATTCGACTATGTTAAACTAAGAAAATTGAATTCTAGACATAGAATGCGAATTTGCGGACCGCTGCGCGCCGGTTCTTAAACCGAAATGAATTATTTCATCGTCGACGAACGGTTGCGATTCCTCGGGATCGATACGGAGCCGATCAATCATCGAGCGTGTCTCGCGCTGAATCAATCACGCCTGGCTCCGTCGACGTGTTATTATCGTCGTCGAAAAAAAGACGTCGGAAGGAAGCGGTCTAATCCGGGGAAGGGTTAATTGCGAGACTTTTTTTTCAGGCGCCGATACAGAGCCGCGTGACAAATGTAAATCGCGATATTATCGGGATCTCGAGACGGAGGACCGGTTGTCCATCTGGTCCACGGAGATTAATGAACGCGGTGCTTAGGTATCCGAGGCTCATTAAGACACATTAACCCCTGCCTCTTTTCCTTCTCTCTCTCTCTCTCTCTCTCTCTCTCTCTCTCTCTCTCTCTCTCGCCCTCTTCCTTTTTTCTTTCNGAAAGCGTTGGATCGACGACGCGAGGGTGCGAGGGTGAGAGGGCCGAGAGAAAAAACAATTACGTCGAAGAAAACGGAAAACAAATAATTACGGTCGCGTTGTTGAAATTTCTTCGCTGCGCAAAATGCGACTAAGCCAGTAATCGCGAAAAAACTGCGTCATTTTATGTCGAAATAAAAACTCGCGAATCGAAACATGTATTCTTATTAATTACGTAAAAATGTTAATGTCTTATTAATATTCGTTATATTAATAAGAATATATACGTTATATATACTCGTTTGGTAAAAATACCGTTGAATAGATATAATAATATAAAATTAGAAAATAAAACATCGATCTGATTAGAAAATAATTCTACATTATAACAGCGCGCGTACGCTTTTCAAAGAGATCGAACCGAAATAAAACAAACGACAATATCCGATGGATGTTTCGCTCGAATAAAAATTAGTCTATAGTTGTCGACTGCTTTCGCCGGCCATTCATGCTAGCCGGATTTGATTTATTGGCCAGAGAAGACGACAGGGGATGGCAAGTGTTCCGAACGATGAAATTTTGACGGTCGATGGCTGTTTCCACGGCTCGTTAGTGGCTATACTTCACGTCGTTGCGTTCGAACGCGTGCACTCGGCCTCGCGGATTCGTTGCATCCGCGAATGCGGGTCGGTGCATCGATGCCACGTGACCCGAACGCGGCGACGACGCCCGGTGGGCACTTATTAGATTCATTCCTAGTATCTGTTGCCCGCGATTCACCGAGCGAATCTTCTTTTCTACAACCTCGCTTAAACCTTGCACCGGAACACCGAGTCAGAATCGACCCAAAGGGTACAAAAATCAGTCTACGCGTAAGTGTACCTTGCGAGAAGAAATAGAGCATTTTTCATTTTTATTCTACCAAGGGATGCGTCATCTAATACACAGATTTCTTATATGAAAATTTAATTGGAGTGCAAGTATAATTCTCTAATTGAAAATAGCCTTGTCAGACCCGAAGAATTTTAGGGGTGGTTATACTAGAATAGAGACGAATGATTTATCGATTCGATTCCACCGAGAGAAATGCCTTCTACACCGGTTGAAAACAGTTGAAGAATTTCAAGGTACCGTTGCATTACTTTCAATTTTAATTTTGCATAAGAATCAGCAGTCTAATACGATAATCGCTTTACAACCGTACAAATTATTCGACTATGTTAAACTAAGAAAATTGAATTCTAGACATAGAATGCGAATTTGCGGACCGCTGCGCGCCGGTTCTTAAACCGAAATGAATTATTTCATCGTCGACGAACGGTTGCGATTCCTCGGGATCGATACGGAGCCGATCAATCATCGAGCGTGTCTCGCGCTGAATCAATCACGCCTGGCTCCGTCGACGTGTTATTATCGTCGTCGAAAAAAAGACGTCGGAAGGAAGCGGTCTAATCCGGGGAAGGGTTAATTGCGAGACTTTTTTTTCAGGCGCCGATACAGAGCCGCGTGACAAATGTAAATCGCGATATTATCGGGATCTCGAGACGGAGGACCGGTTGTCCATCTGGTCCACGGAGATTAATGAACGCGGTGCTTAGGTATCCGAGGCTCATTAAGACACATTAACCCCTGCCTCTTTTCCTTCTCTCTCTCTCTCTCTCTCTCTCTCTCTCTCTCTCTCTCTCTCTCTCCCGCCCTGTTCCTTTTTTCTTTCTCGCGTTGGTTTGTCCTAATGGCGCATTGATCACTGTTGGCCAAGATAAACTGGCTCCTCGGAATCCAGAGGAAAGAGCGGTCAAGGATGAAAAATTAGGGCGACAAACGCGTTAATATTGACCCCTGCTACGATCATCGATGATCTTCGAGAACAAGATCAGCGTGACAACCGACAACCTCCTACAATTAGTACGTCTCTATAATAATGAAAATGTGGAAAGGTGCTTTAAAACAAATGGTTAATTTAAAAAGATTCTCGAGTAGTTATTCTTCTATTATTATTATTATTATTATAAGTTAATTTATTTCAGCGTTCTCCAATTAACCGCGAGGTTATTAGCGACCGCTCGGTGTGCAAAAGTGTGAACAAAATAAATCCACGTGGAAGTTCACGTGGATCGGGTTAGGGACGGGCGTAGTTGTACAGCGACGAAGGCTCGCATGCGATAAGGCTATTAAATGAAATCGAGGGGAATAAAAATGAGAATGTAAATTCCCGTTCGGATGGCCGAGGATTTCTCTCGGCTATCGGCCGTCGATGCGGCAACGACGACGACGACGACGACGACGACGACGACAACGACGACAGCGACGCGGCTCTCGATGTATGGTCCCGATTCCTCGAAACTCGCATGAAATCGAGCCCCGCGGAAAGAATCTATTAATCCGCCGTTCCGGCCGTCTGAAATCGACGGAAAACTCGATAGCCCGTGGAAAGAGACGACATGTGCACGTACGATAATCTATTCCCGAGGATTATATCTTATCTCGCGGTTATCAGGAATCTCTGAAAGGACGGCCAGTTCATTCGGCCGCGGTATATGGGCTAGATAATTTTATAATGCACGGAATCGAACGTCCGCAGGCTCGATCGGTTCCGTTCCGATGCGTTCGGACCATTCGCGATTCATGCCGACTCGTATTCTCGATTCAATTACGCGTGCATCGTTTTACTAAATTATTTATTTATTCGTTGAAATATTTTGGTCCAAGACCAATACAATATACGGAACTTCGATATACGAAACATAAGCGAACAAATAAGTCCATTTGTTTATCGTACGCTTTAATAAGATTCGCTAATCTTGTTTACCGGAAATCGATGACTAGGTTTTTGTTATTCGTTTCGAAGACTATTCGATAATTTAACCCTAGCACATTTCCTATGAGAACGCGCAAGGAATCCTAGATAAACCGCGTTAGAAATATCATTGGAATAACATTGGAGAATTCGACTAAAATCGCGACAGCTTCGTCGAATGAAATATTAATTTTGATAGATTCGCAAGGCTGAAAAAAGAAGATATTAGGCGAGAAAGAAATGTGTATGTACTCACCTCGGTACGCTGCTGTAACCTCTTGTTCAGTTCGTAGAGCCTGTAGTCCGGCTGGCCAAAGTACGGAGTATGCCTCCTGGGGACAGGCAACGATCTGTCAGATCAGACCGATCGGTCATGTTAGGTGTGCTGTGTACAGTGTGTTTCGCTGGTGTGGGTCGTCGCGTGTCGCATGCATGTCGGGCAGGGTCCTCGGCCAAATAAGTTCGAAGGAAAGGGTATAGGCCTATCTCCGCTCCTTCGACGACTTGTTTGTCCGAGAACCCGATGTCGGGGCCGACTCGGTTGGGTTCGGTTCGGTTCGGTTCGGTTCGATTCGATTTCAAGATGCATCCGGATCCAAGACATTTTTATTTCGCACAAAGACCCGCGGTCTACCGATAAAATTCGATAAATGTACAGTTAATTACGTCCGAAATTTGGGACATTCGAACTTCCGCTCGCCCGATACGAGCGTCGAAAAAGCGTCCGATATAACGTTGTCATCGGTTAACAATGCGAGAATGCAGGATCGCGGTGTCGTGACCGAGCGACCGGCGTAAATCAGGTTTAATAAGTTCGTGCGTGTCTCTCGCTTGTTCGCGTGTGCACGCGTGTCGAACACCTGTTATGCCTGCGATAGCTCGATCGTCGGTACTCTTCGCCGATTTCTTCGGCAATTATTCGAACGGGACGGGTAATTGCGAAAACACAGCTTCGTCGCGAGGAGATCAACCGTCGGGATGAAAAGTCGCGTGGAATGGGAGACTCGCTGGCGAATTCTTTGAAATCAGCGAGCTCGCGAGCTCCCGCCAAGTTGGAACTTTCCTTGTAATTTTGTTCGGAGAGAAAAAACGGCGGCAGGGAGGAGGAGATGGAGGAAGGCAAAAGACACGAAACTTATTCGAGCGACGCGAGGCAAGCTTCCCGAAGTTCCTCGAGCGTGTTCCGTCGCGCAATTTGCATGATACGATCCCCGACGACACGGACGTCGTCGCGTCGACCAGGATCGACGCGCGTCCTCCGATCCAAATTGCGCGACGCCGAGAAATGTAATGGCGCGCGGGTAAATTGCGGCCAGCCGTAATTATCCTTATTAAGCGGAAGCCGGCCGAGGAAAACACCGACGGCGATTATATTTTTCCCGCGGACCAGTCCGGGGAATCGGGGATTCCGCTTCGCTCGAGTCCAAGGAAATCGGTTTTCGACCCTCGAAAAAATTCGTCAACATCCGCGTCGCGTTCGCCGTCGAACGAATAATTCTACGTACTCGTGTAGCAGTTGCGTTACGAGAAAATGAACGCGGACGTTCCGAAGCAGGAGAGGACGATCGAGCAATTTCCTTGGACGCTTCGAACCGAAACGGCGGCATAGAGTTTTCCCGGGAAAATTTCGTTTCGGTTCGCGTTTAGCCATCGACTCGTAAGTTCGTATTCCACGGATATATTAATCCAATGTGTACGCCGTATCGGTCGCAAAGTTCTAATTGAATATAGGGCTTGATTGTACAAAGGAGAGACCGTTGCGCTGCAACAGCGATAACGGTGCGTATACGAGGGTCACGAATCGACCAACTGCACTGATATCGATCATCCTCGCGGACGCTTTCCTCTGCGCGCCGCTTCGAAGTTTCTCGGAACTTTGACCCGGAATCTTCCGACACTCAAAGAAAACGATCCAAAAAGAGCAACGAATGCAAAACGATCGAAGCCGCATCGTATTCGATTGGACGCGCGAATCGAAGCGTAGTCGATCGCGAATTGCGAGCTAGGAGCGTGTCTCCCTCTTAACGCTTTTACGTTAAGATTTGGACAAAAATTTGACAAAAATTCATTATTTATTCTATTATCTTAATTGCGCTACTAAAAAACTGTATCGCGATTACGATGCTACTAGAAAAGTGTTGATCGTTGATCGGATCACGTTTTACCCAATTGTATCTTAAATAAATGGAAACAGTTTCGAAAAAATGTCTGTAAAAGCGTCTTCGAGAATTTATTGCTGCTTTCGATTTGCTTCCAGTTTCAAGATGATTTCGGAAAGAACGCATCGAGGCGCGGTTCCGGCGGAGCAGACGCATCTATCGCGAGATCCCGACGTCCCGGATCGGCAGGGCCGATGCGGCGCGGCCGGATAATTCTTGAAAATTGGATTCGCCGTGGAACGGTCGCTCGTAACACGGCCAATTGATCGGCGGCATCAAAATATTAGCGTCCGGCTGACTGGTCGCAGTCCGGCCAACAACGTCGCCGTCGTTCACCGGAATCGTTATCGATTTTAATATCGACGCCGCTCTGCTAACCGTCCGCGACCCACGGACACACGTGCTCGCGTCGCGGCGACTCGATCAAATAATTCGGTCACCCGATTCCAAGCCACGCGCGTTCGTACACCTCGTACACGTTCGAACGAGAATGCTCCAAGTTCGAGCAAGTCGCGCGAGAACTTTGATTTTTAACGCGGGGCTCGGATGAATTCGAACAAGTCTCGAGCAAGTAATTTGCGAACGAGAAATCGACGATCCGCGACCCGATTTTTCGTGGCTCCGCCCGTCGCGTTGACACAGAAATCTGCTCGAGGAAGGCTGTGGATCGGCGAGATTTCTCGCCGGCCGATACACGCGGCGCAGGGAGCGTAGCGAATGTCATCGGCAAGATCGATCGTGGCGGAAAGAACTTGGCCTTTCCGGTCTCCGGAGAATCGCCGGCGTGGGACCTGACGACACGTCACTGCGCCCGTCTGCGGGGGTGCGTGTGCGCGCGCGTGTGTACACAGGCCGGGGCTGAGTTTGCCAGGGAAGGGTCGGGGCTCAAGGGTTGCAAGGGTAACCTACTGTTGTGCACGGTTCACCAGGGACGCGCTCGACAAATTTCTCGTCCCATTCGTGCTCTGATTCATCTAGATTGCGACCGATCACGGAAATCCAGCCGCAGTTTTCCTTCTACCGGGCTGACGCCGAGGTCACCGGCCGCTGATTTCTCTCGCAGCTCGAGTGAATTCGGCGGCGACCCTTAACTGCGCCAACCGACAACTCCAATTTCGGTTTTTTGACACTAGCTTTACGGAACCCGTCGAAATGTCGGGTTACACATTTTTTCATTCGCGATTATTCGAATCGCAAAGACGCGTTCGACAGCTGTTCGTTCGATGCACGTATCGCTCGGAAACTATCTCATATTTTTGTATTCGTTAACGATAAAATTTAGACTAGATTACGCGAGTATAAAAATGTACGTGTATTCTATAACATCGTTTCGCAGAGTGTTCGACGAAGTAGGGGAGTATCCGAGTTTTCGGTGTGCCGAAGGTCAACAAGCGTCTATAATTACCGAGCCTATTTTAATTTAAAGCATCGATCGGCCGCTCCGCGCGAAAAAATGACCGGGCGGTGCATTTATTTATAAATACACCGCGGGAGGATTAATAATAAACCAGGCTCTGTCAGGGTTAATCGAAGCTCGGCGGCGCACCGTGGGGTAAAAGGCGCCCAAATGCGTTCAAATAATCGCCGTCGACGTTTCAAAAAATAAACCATACGGATAGCTGATCGAACATTTTAGTCGCAACGCGGTATAATTGTTCTTCGTACTTTCTACTACGTTCTTTTACAGCCAATGGACGTAACGATGTTTCCTTTGTGTCGAAGAATAAATAAATCGAGAAACGATAATAGTAAAAAAAGAAAGAAGCGGTGCAATATATTCCGCGAAACGGTGCGACAATTATCATCGAGTTTCATTTTCAGCGAAATTATCGAGAGAAAAGAAAGAAAGAAACGATGCGAACGTTCTGTCATTCGTACGATTTCGGACGATGTGCTCACCTGACTGCAACATTCGCGCTGAATCCCTCGTTCTCTTATCAGCGATTATGCTTTCGGTTCGAACGGTGATACACCCGCGTATAAAAAGTACACAGAGTAACGACGAGGATCTCGGGAGCCGACGAAGAGGAAAGATTTCGCACGGATGACGCGAGTCGCGCGCGAAATAATCCGCAACGGGTTCGCGTAGATCGCACAGCCGCACCGCGCCGGCTCTCTCTCTCGTTCAAGACGTGCTGGCCGCCGCGATCGAACTAATTAATTCGTCGCACGCCGCGCACAACCACCACGGAACCTTTTTCTCCCTCCCCTGGCCGAGGACGATCGCGATCGTGACAGATCGCTCGCAGCCGATATGCCGGCTAATCCGCTGAATGAAAAACTTTTACTGGCGCGAGCAACCACGAACAAAAACAAATCCGTCCGACATTTGTTTCGGGAATTTTCAGGCAAGCGCGCGTCCTTCGTTAACGTTATGCGACTTAATTAACATGTGCGTAGTTCGACAAAAAAGAATTTCGGCTTCGAAAATATTTTCTTGCCAACCCAATGTCCAAATAAGGCAGCTGCTTTTTGCGCTGCGTAAATCTAACAAAATAAAATCTACCTAATAAAATATTAATAATACCGCGGGTTGTGTCTCGGTGGTATCGCGTCTTCGCGCCGTGTTCCAGACCGGGTTAAAATCGGCCTGGTGGACGAGCCTCGAAGGATCCTAACAATCGCTTCTCGAAGGGGTTGGAAATATTTCTGGCGGAGGAGTGGACCCCGAGCGATGGTCGAAGCTCGTTCGAAGAGTGGGGAGTCTCGAAGCGAGCGATTCGCAAGGTGTCCACACAGCGGGGTGTCGCGAGGTTTTCGCGCGGCTGGACGAAGAAGAGGGGTCCGGGTCCGGCCAGAGGCGTTATCGGTCCGTGGGAGTTAATGGGTTTAGTTGGCGCGGCTAATGGGTGTCCCGGCACGGCGTGCCGGCAGGAATCAGCTGACTGGCCAGCTGGCCTCCGATCGTCGTCCAGGGAACCGTAGGTTGAGAGCCGTCGCCTGCAGGGGTCTCAGATTGGGTTAGCAAAGGGCGCAGTTCAGACTGGAAGGGTGGCTGCCGAGGGTGAGTCTGGTGCGGTGGGAGGGCTGGAGGAGGTGGAGGGTGTTATTAGGGGTTTGCTCATGGGGTGGCACTGCGATCAATGCTGGGGAGTCATGCTAACCCCCCTTTCGAAGTCTATATATAGAAGAATGGCGCACACACGCACGCCGGGTTGAACGGCGATGGGCATTCGGAGTCTCTCTCTCTC